ATTTGATATCCTAACGTGGTTCATTTAAGAAGCAGTCTTACAAACTTCGCTTTCGTCTCACTTATTTCGCCAAAGCAACTAAAAGTCTAGCTGTTCCCAGCGCAAGTGATTGTATACTTTCAAAAATGCTATCTTGGCAGATGTCAACAGACAAATATTGACAATACGGATGAACATGAAAGGACAACTTCTTCAGAAGCTACAAATACTCCTGAAGCCTACTCACTACGGAGCCAGCAGCGCAGAGAATTGTAATTACAACTAACATTTTGCCTTGGCAAGATAAATCCTAATGTACCAATATGATTTGGAATGTAACTAGCTCGCCTTGAATGCCAAATCTGCCATGTGGCCCACAAGCACTCACATTTGGCTGAGTGACGGAGATATAATTACGAACCCAGTTGTGGTTAATGACGGTCGAACCTGACGTCGACTCCGAATGAGGAAGTGTTGTGGAAGTCACATTTCAATGAAATCCCATAACTTCTTTTGGCACTTCTACTAATTTAGAATAACCAAAAACTACAATAGTTCTTAGTGGCTCTGAGGTTGTTTCAGTCGTGTGAGCCCAATTTTACATTCGCGGTTTACTTGGCGCGAGGATACCCTTTCTCCTAAACTCGCCCTCCTTCGAGCGACACAAGCTACAGAACATGGCCTCGTTGCTCCGAGCTGCACGGAGCCTGGACGGCGGCTGATCCACGTCCCCGTACGAGACGGGATTAGCGATGCTCCGAGGTATGTTGTTTTCTTTTCGGAGGGGTCTATATCTGCAGATGATCGCTTTTCTCAAAATCAACCATTCTCTTGATTACCTTCGACAAGAGGCTTGGGAAAGACGAGCAACACCCTTTTCTCTTCTTCAGAGCACATGGCTCGTGTAGATAGAAAAAGTTATTGGCGCTTAAAAACCAATTTTTTATTTTTGTGATGGCGTTAAAAGAAGAGATTTCCCATTGCGCGGTTCACGGTACATGCACTATCGTGTAGAGTTGATTGAATACCGTTGTTTAAGCATCACATTTATTGTGACTTAATCTTCCATTTCGAAAAAAAAGTTGTTTGGAAGGAATATTGGATTGCAGTAATCCTCCTTCGATCTCCGGTGAGGTCATCTAACCAATTTCTTTCAACCATCTTTCCTTCGAAACGGAAAGTCATGTCACTATGAATCACCAAAGAAGTCTTAGAAATCCATTCTTCAAAGGCACCAAATTGACGGTGGTGCCCACAAGAGCTACACTTTCGTCTGCAATAACTCATCACGTTTGCACAAAATCACAGTTTCCCTGGCTACGGCTTGCCCAATGACCTGTTTGCGTTAGCCGTAGACGAAGCAGTATCCCAGGGCTGCGATCGGCCGAAGCCGACTCGTCAACTCGAATGAGTGAAAGAGTCTAAACCTTCCAAACTTCTCGAATAGATTCGTATGATTATACCTCTCCGTTTTTTGCAAATATGCGAGCAAAAGATATTCACAAATTGGCCTTATCTGTAACCGAGACAGAGGCATCATTGACCAAGAGTTGTGGTCAGCCTCGGCGGCATAGGCTGATGCAGAACTGATGGTTGCATTTTCACATACTTGCATGAATAGGCCAAATGATGCCGATGAATTTCACATTTCCCTGTTTCCAAAAAGCTATTCTCATCTCGATTGAACTCGGCGACAGTTTAAACCTCAGTCCTTCTAACGGGACTGCGGCTAATTTGCTCAGATTGCCACATCGTTGAATTGCCACGAAGGCCAGCAAGGTACAGAATAGACGCGTGTTTCAAGCAAGGCCATGTCTGTTCCGTATCATAAAATAGATTGAGATTGTCGATGAAGCAAATATTACAATTGATTATGCCAATTATATTCATAGAGAGTCGTTTTTGAGACTCGTTGAATCGTGAATTAGGGTTTAAGATACCCAGAATCGCATGAGTTGTTGAAGAAATGATGGTTTAATTTTTTCATAATTTTATTATTATACCTCATAATGTCGTTGAACTTTACATTGTCTTGTTTCCTAAAGGCTAGATTGGACTGCAGTTTCGACCTCGCTTGCGTCTTGACAACACCCCAACGTAACTCGAGCCCATCAAGTTCAGCATGTAATTTCAGCGTAAATTGGCCTCAAGGGCTTTTATTTCCATCTACCCTCCATAAAATCGGGCGGCTCGTCTCCCTGGCACGAGGATGATCGCATGAACGAACTATTTTGTATCGGTCTGATTCGGGTAGATAGCCAGTCCCGTCTCTGAAAGTCGGCAGAGATGGAGAAGGTGACAAGGTGACATAATAAACGAATTTGCTTTCCCCCTTTCTTGTCCGTTGCTTCTGTCCATTTAAATACAAGATGCCAAGGCAAAGTCAGAACATGAAATAAAATCTCAGGCTATCTATTCCGTCCCAAATATGGTAGATGCAATTATCGCAAAGTCACTTAATACCTTAATATTTTAATATTAATATATTAAATATCGTAACACTTAACAACTTCAAATTTTACTATATTACCATCTTATAACAAAATGTTAGTTAAAAATATGAAATTGCACAAGTTAATCCTAACATGTTGCCAAAATGGTAAAATAATGATCGATCTTTCAAACTAGTAATTTCATAGTTTAATTGAAGATGTTGTGGCCTCTGGTATGGTCGCAGTCTCCTTTCGATTTATTGAAGTGAATCGACCTCGTTGGTCTTGTTGTCAGGGAAACTATGTAGAACGCACCTAGTCCAAAGTCGCCTGCCAGAGTAGATGTCATGATTCCCAGCATCAGAAAGTGGACTTGGTACATTCTCAAAACGTTTCACCGGCATCCTAGTCGGCATCATCATTTAGTTTTGCCATTAGCCGCACCAAGCTACGAACTCATCAAAGAGACAAGTGAAGTCAATCCTTGACAAACGTTCTACCGAAAACGGTTACACCATCACTCCTATTTCTCTCCTGGCCTATCTATACACTCTTTACGGTCGAGAGTTGGATGAGAGGGTAAAGAGTAGATAGATTGGCCAGAACAGAAAGAGGAGTGATGCTGCAACCGTTTTCGGCAGAACGTTTTTTGAGGGATTGACTTGACTTGTCTCTTTGAAGAGTTTGTAGCTTGGCGCGGAGAATGGCAAAACTCACTGATGATGCCGGCAAAACGTTTTAGAATGTACCAATTCCATTGTATGATGCTGGGAATTATGACAACTACTCTGGCAAACGACTTCGGACTAGGTGCGTTCTACTAAATCGCCCTGACAACAAGACCAAGTTGCGACAACAAGGTCATCCCACTTCTATTAATTTCGTGTTCAGAATAATCTTCCTTTTTAGTGGTTCCTCGAAGTTCCTCTTCTAACTTTTACACAAGCAGTGCGTAAAAGCTCTCGTTAAAGGTGAACTAAAAACAGATCATGCGCAAGCAAATCGGAGGCAGTTGCATCTAGAAATGTCAACATAAACGAAGAAAGTGGCAAAGTTCCCTTAGAAACGGTTTTAATTCCCCCTTTCGTATCAATACCTTCTCTCCCTTTAGAAGGAGGACATGAGAGTTCAGTAAGAACATGAAATAAAATCTCGGATTATCCATTCAGTCAAAAAAAGTTACATTCAACCTAGATCGCATTGAGTGCTCAAGAAAATAAATGGCGGCGTGTGACTCATCATTAACTTATGCGACCTAGGATGACCTAAACAATTATTCACAATTTAACAATCGCTTGGAAATAAACTATATGTATAGCTATTCCAACACAGTCCACTCAATATCTTAATAGTAATATAATGATTATCTTAAGATTAAGCTCATTATCTTAAAATCTCACGGTATCCATATTTTAAATGGTAAAATATGTATACCTATTCCACCATAGAAATGGCCATTTCAATTATTCACAGTCCACTCAATATCTTCATAGTAATATAATAATTATCTTAAAATTTAACTTATTATCTTAAAATCTCACGGTATCCATATTTTAAATGGTAAAACATGTATAGCTATTCCAACATAAAAATGGTTGTTTCAATTATTCACAGTCCACTCAATATCTTAATAGTAATATAATAATTATCCTAAAATTTAGCTCAATATCTTAAAATCTCACGGTATCGATATTTTAAATAACCTGAAGTCTGAGTTACTCCCACCATATTGTCAAAATGGTAAAATTGTCATCCATCTTTCTAACCAGTTATTTCATGTACTAAATAATCTTTTTCATTGATGATTTCCTAAAGTTCGCCCTACAACTGTTAGCTAAAGTGGGCACTAAGCGGAATCCCATTGCTTCTCCATGGGTCTGACCGTAAAACCTCTCGTCATGGGGGGAATGAGAGCAGATCCTGAACAGGATAAGTAGATTCAGTCCCCTCTCTGAAATTTGGCATAGCCGAATAAAGCTACAAAGTGCAAATTCTCCACTTTATTATCAATTCCTTTTATCCCCTTGACTATAGGACACGAAGTCAAAGACACAACATGAGATAGCACCTGCCGTTATCTATTCCGTCTCAAAATGTGATAGCTACAATTATCGCCAATTCACTTTTATCATAAAAGTAAAATACTTAAACTAAAATCTCAATATTTCCTTTATTTACGGTTTTTCGGAGTCTGCCGTGCAACTATTAGCCAAACTGCGAACCAACAGGAATCGCATTGCATGTACATGCGTCTGTCAGTAGAACCTCCATTTAAAGATACAATTGGGTGGCCTCTAGCATAGTTCTTTTAACTGGAAGGCTGGTATAAGTTGAAACATCATCCTGGCTGATTCTATCATCGTTTTAATGCTCCATCACGGCAGAAAATCATACAAATCCATCAAAAAAGTTATGTCGGTAGCATTCACTTTGGGAGGAATCAGCTTCTTGAGACGCTTCACCGGGTCATGTACCGTTGATGCATTCTCATTTCTCTCCAAATCCATTTGTCTTCTTTAAGAGCATTCTTTTCGTTAGCTCAATCGAAGGTATAGGCAGTGGTTGTAGGCATGCCTTTTAGCTCTGAGGATGTCCGTCGAGGGACAGGATGGACGAGGCCATAGTGGAAGGGACATTAACGAGGAGGCTTCAGGAGATGCCTTGCAAACCGGATGTCGCAGTCTTTCCTCTGCAAAGCACCAACTCACAAACCTGGTTTCACAGTTGACTTCCCATCGCAACCGGCCCACTTCCAGGCGTCCTGATTTCGCATATCGGGCCCCAGTTACTCCCAGTGTTGCCCAACACATGAGTACACGCAAACACATACATGCACAAAAAACTATACAAGTTGGTTACTGGTCTTCTATGTCCGAATCACCATCAGCATGCCATGCGACTCATTTTTCCAGAAGCCCTCTGGCGATATCTTCTACCCAACAGACCGTTGCTAACGGACCAATCTGTACCCTCTTCGGTCCGAGGGTCTGACGAGTCTTGATGAGGTTTTATTGAACCTCGGGCGATTCGTCGAAACCCAGTCACTCTTCATGTCAATATAACCTCATTATGACTCGTCAGACCCAATCTCGGAACGAAGAAGGCTCAGATTGGCCCATTAGCAACGGTCATCATTATTATTATTCAGCCAAATGAGCAGAAAGTACTGACGACTAGTGGATCCATCGAATTCTCAACAATGGAAAAGCCGGAGTCGTGGAAATATTCAGAGCAATTAATAAATGGATGTGAACGTGCCTGTGAAGGATCTTCGTGTCGTCGACGGAACAACAACCTTTTGGTACAAACTTATGCAAATCACTTCAGAAAAAGGTTGGAAACAATGTTTGAACTGGTCTCTCCAAAAACCGAAGCAGGATTGCTTCGCAGTGCAATGAAAATTATATGCAACAAGATTCTTGATTTCTTTATCGTGTATCTATTTTAGCTGGTAGAAGACTCTTTCATACAACTTGTCTGCCATAGTTTGCAGCTTAAGGGCCTCGGGTAAAATGAGCCTGAGTTTAATCATAATTTGTGATAAATAAGTACAAATTTTAATGCTTTTTTCAGACCTAATATCAACCTAATTGTGGCATTCGCCCACAAGAACAGTCATTGTTATCAAGAAAATGTATTCTGGAAAAATCACAAAATCCAGATATGATTCTGCGTGAAGTGTAGACATCAATTTCTTGGTCCTTATACATAATGGCGAGTTTTTAAACACTGGAAAGCATACATACTTCAGATATATAAAAAAAGGGTTATGAAGTATTCTTAGCGATTTTTCTACAACAAGTTTCGTTTCAACGGAAAAGTTGGCCAATTTCCTCTCCTTACGGCTAATTGCCGTAGAGCCCAAAGCCTCCAGTTCAAGTGAAATAAGTTGACTAGTAAATAACGAGATGAGGTGTTTTTTATTTTAGCGAATTTCATAGTTTACTCTACTTTAGGTGA